CTTTCTACTTAACAATTTCTTTCTCTATTACATGTCATCTCTGTTCCTGCCTAATTCCAGGTAACCTCCACACTTTCTTTTGATCACTCTTGTACAGTTGTACCGCATTTTGGAAGGTATAAACTCCTTATGTCAGCTACCCATGGTCAGCTCCCTTAAATTTTTATCCAGTAACACCAGGATAAAGTCCAAAGCAACCATTTTTGGTATATTTTCCCCAGTGGAATATGGAAGACAACATAGAGTAAAAGGAACAGGAAAACCAAAAAGAAAATCCCAATTATCTTTGTCTGTCATGGTCATCAGTACAAAACTATTCTGCAGACTCCATACCTTGTTCAATTTGTGTGCACATTTTTCAAATTAATTATTTTCAGTTGATGAAAACATCTATTCTTGGGCTGCGCATTTTTACACTTGTATTCATGTGCATAAGTAATGTAGTTTTTGGGGACAAGATTCCAGTGGTAAACAGAGCATTTTTTTTCTTTTGACAATGCTAGAACTCTGGAAATATCATACTGGAGACAGAAATAGAGAGCTGCAAAAATCTTGTTCTTTTCTCTTAAGATGTCACCAGAGGTAGATTTAGAGAGTCACATTTTTGATGTGTTTCAGCCCAGAGCCTGCACTTCGCTCCTGATCCTTGCTTTGTAGTAAAGGACATTGCTATTTTCAGAAGGCAGAAGGTCTCTTCCTCTTTGCATTCAGTAGCACAGAAAGAAAAAAGAAATCTTGTCAGTTTAAAGATATATATGAGTATGTGCTGGAAAACATGGATATTATTTTACTTTACTATCATGAATTAACATAATAAAAAGTAGCTTATAATAATCCATTTTGCAATCCTGTAGTACTGTTGTCTTTAATATTTTTATAATGCCTATTATGATAAAAAGGATGCACATCCTCAATTTTTATCAAATCCCTACAGGAAGCCTAGATTTAGCACCCTATGGGGGCTAAAATGAGAAAATGGGAAAATGAAGCAACATAAATAGCAACAATAACAACAGTCTCAAGATTAGGCAGATGCTGTCCAAATTACTGAAGAGTTAAGCGACCTGGAGCAGATCTTCAAGGTCCTTTAAATACTGTGCACGTGTTCAGGAAAGGCAGTATTACAATTTAGCGAATAGGAAAAATAGTTACCTAAAAGGTTAGATACTTTAAAAAGTAGGCAGTCTAAATTGCTTTGTGAATCTCATATAAAAACATCATTAAACAGAGAGCTGAATGTGTTTCTCTTGAGATGTAGTTTTATGACCTACTTCTTCCTTCCCTACCTGAAGAAAACAGGACTTCATTTAAAGACATGTGAGAATAAAAGAGGCAACTTCTTGATGTTTTTAATGGGATTTTTTGTTCAAAATGTCGCTGTTGTGACTGCAGACTCATCTATACTCTCTGAGTCCATAGGACCCTGAAACTTTGGCCTAACCCACAGCCATTAGCACATGCTTTGCAACATATCCTTAACAATGTTCTTCAAAATGCTGTTAGCAGAATTAGGCGAATACCTCTGCATCTAGGCTAGATTTACTGGTATGGCATCTGCAAAGGTAGTGACCTAAGAAAAATCCTATGGAAAACTGGCCAAATTTTCATCTAGGACAACAAAGCACTTAGATTTCAAATGTTGCTTTGGTTTCAGCTTCAAAAATATACTAGTAAGATCCAGACTCCTGGCTGAACCAGGTTGCTATCCCTGTGCCTGCCCTGCTTGCATTGCTCAGGTTTGTGGGATAACAAGGCCCCTCTGGATAACAAGCCCCGCCTGCCCTGCCAGGGGTGTTAGCATGCATAGCTCCCAGCTCCTCATCCCCTTAGGGAGCAGCTTGCACTCACTGCTCCCTAACATCCACTTTGGGAGTCCTCCAATGAACTCTTCAGGTCCAGTCAAACCCTCCTGTGTACTAAGTTCAGTGACTGCTAGTCTAATCCCCCATCTTTGCCCCGTATGTACCTCAACAACACGTATTCATCTGTAAAGTCCTGTCACAAGCCCTGTAGGTCTCATTAACATTCAGGAATACAGTGATTTTTTCAATTCTTAAAATCAGAGAACTTTATATAAATTCCAATCCTAATACTAATTCCGACATAGCCCAGAACAAACCTAAACCTTTTGTTCAAGCAAGCAGCAGTCTCCATCTAGTCCTTGCTGCCTTGCAGAGCTGTGTAACAAACAAATTCTTTTGCTCCTTCAGTCTCAATCTTGAGGTCTAGACCTGGTTGTACTCCCAGTTTAAACAGCCATCTACAATCCTACCTTCACAGCCCAACCATTCCCAGGGGGTTCACACTTATTAACTCTCTTCATCTGAAGTTATTTCTGTGTAGGTATAGTGTCTAGCCAGAGACTCTTGAATACTTGTCTGTCAATAGCACAATTATAAAAGAAAACGCTAAGGTTGACCCAACAGGTTATTGCTTTGATTCCTTTGAGTGATTAGCTCCCTATTGTCTCCAATTTCACATTTTTGATCTTTTGTATGAAATATCTTCCACTTCTAAAAATAGAAATAGATTATTGTTCCCTGTAAAAACTGAAATCAGAACTTAATCTAACGGATGAAAGGCTGATGCCTGCTTTAAGCTTCGTGCTTCCAGCAAGGGTATCTGTTTTGCTTTCTCAGTGGTCAGAGCTGGCATCAGCACCTTAACAATACAAAACTTTATTTAATAGTCTCCACTTAAATTGGGTGGCCAAATTTTAAGCATAACTTTTTTTATTTAAATATAAATGTCTAGAATATGAATAAAAGTGGATGAGATGAAGTTAAGAAGAGAATCATGAATGTGTTCAGATCAAAACTGCAGGAACATCAGACGTTATAGCAGATGTTAGAATGCTCACCTTAATAAAGCGATTACAACTTACATGAGTAGGGCTTTACAGCCCAGAGTAGGAAGATGCATAATGGCTTTGAACTTTCCATTATTCCCTGATGTAGATTATAGTTATGTTAGCTGTACATAAGATGCTCAGCATGAAGAATTAGAACAAAACAAGTATCATATTATGAAAAGAAAAGAGTAATCAACATTACAAGCATGTCTGCTGTGACACAGTTAAATAAAACTAATGTTTTAGCATAAGAGTTTTATCATTTCTTCTTGCTCCCCTAATCATGCACCATGCAGAAAAGCATTTTCCAACATCTCAAGGCAGTGCTTTACTTGAAAACGTTAACTGGGAAATTCAACATGCCTTAGCAGATGGCTATGAGGTGAACACAGGGCTGTATTTCACTCATGTGGCTTTGTGGCTACTCAGAAGTCACTTGGGTTTATACACGCACAGTCAGTAACATCAGCAGAGCCAGGCCAGTTAATTACAGCATTATATCTGCTCCATAGTTCTCTATTATTCTCTAAATCAGAGTAATAGGCAAGAAAACAGTCCCTTTAAAGAGACTGTTCTGCTCTGTTAAAAAGTCAGAAAAAGCTTCATAACTGTGGACAAAATGTAAGCTCTATTATGGAGTAAGAGATACTCTTTAAAGTCAATTGCACAGAGCAGTTTAATTGACAGTAGGTCCAGACCAGTCGGGTAGTAGAATTTTGTACTGTTTCTTATAAAGGACTAGGAAAACAGAGTATTCCTTCCTTCCCAGAGGAAGAAGGAGGGAAATGGAAAGTGTAAGGGGTATATATAAAAATAAGCCCTAGGAAGCATGGAGATGTTTCCAGCTAAATTTAGTCTTCCTCCTGACTTTGACTATTTTCTACTTTTTGTCCTTTTTTATCATTTTGTTTCTGAAGAAGAAGAAATGTGTAAATAAAGACAAATAAACCAGAGTATTTTCCTCACCAAATAATGAAAATAAGTAAAACAATGCTACTTCACTACTTTAGAGAAGTCTTGGGAAGTTTTTTTTTCCAGAGTCTTTTAGTCAGCAAGGTTGTAAATTATTGACTTAGTGTTTTCATTAAAAATAAAAGGGCAAACTCTAAATTTAAAGTAGAGCTACATTTCAGAGAAGAAAAAAAAAAGATAACAAAAAAAAAAAAAAAAAAAAAACCTCCTTATGATTAAA